GGGGTAGGCGACCGCTGGACCATGACCAAAGCCATCTAGGCGCTGCTGGGTGTCCCGGGCAGGGCATTCTCATCCTGAGTGTGGGGGCGGGAGCGTGACGGAGCTGGGATGGGGAAAGGGGTACGGGGTGGGGGTGAGGGGAACGGGGAGGAGGAGGAGGCTGTGGGAATGGCTGCAGGCTCCACACCCACCATGAGACGCTCGCCGACTGACACCTAGTTTCTAATCTTAATCCTAGGAGAAACTGCCTTTGGGTACAAGAGCTGACTAACCAGTCTACAAGGAAATAGAAGTAAAAAAATATCTAGAAAGAAGTACAACTTAGAAGCAACAAGGTCATATAAAATAATTCTACTGTGTAACTTTCCATCAGGTGTATAGAGATTTACTTATAAATTTTCCTGCCATGTATGCACACTGGTCACTAATCACATGCCAATATTATAGGTATAACTGATATCCTATGTCAGAGGCGATCTTCCAGATGGGCCTTTACAGGCCTCAGCCATGTAGCTATAGATGTTGGCTCCCAACAGTCCTGCTTTTTCAGCTTCCTTAGGTGCCTTGCTAGGCTGTTATTTTGTTTTCCTTCCATTTTCTTCGTATGTTTATAAATTCCCCTCTTACTACAGCTTTCAAGGTGTCCCAAAGATTTTGTTAAGAGTTTTCTTCATTTTCATTTCATTCCAGGTATCTTTTGATCTCTGTTTTTATTTAATCATTGACCAAGGAGTTGTTTAGCATCATGTTGTTTAGCGTCCATGTCTTTGGGGGTTTTGGGGTGACCTTGTTGGTGTCAATTTTTATTTTTATTCCACTGTGGTCCGAGAAGGTGCACGGTGGAATTTCAGTCCTTTTGAAATTGTTGATGCTTGATTTATGTCCAATTACGTGGTTGATTTTAGAATATATTCCATGCGGTGATGTGTAGAATGTGTATTCTGTGGTCCTTGGATGGTGTATTCTGTAGGTGTCAATTAAGTCCTTTTCGTCCAGAGTCTCATTGAGGTTCTGGATCTCCTGGCTGATTTTTTGTCCTGATGATCTGTCTAGGGTTGTGA